ATGAAGCGCCATATTTCCTTTTGCAGACCGTAAAAATCATACCTATTCCATTTCTTTCGAAAACCGTTCCTAGTGATTATGGTATGCCTCTTGTGTTTTGGTTGACATGCATATCAGGTAAGCTTTTTTCTTTTCTTTCATTTTTCGTTCACTTCTATACAAAATCATGAAGTTCTTCGCTTTGAGAACGATTTATTTTTATTTATATTTCTTTCACCAAGAAGAAGAACTTCCTTGGCCGAGGCAAACATATTAGACTTAATTTTTGCCCAGCTTTCTTCGTCTAGATTATTTTCTGTAATATATGTGTGTTTTTTTATTTTCTTCATTTTTGTCTGGTTTCCTAAATGATTGTTTCTTTAAATATTGATTTGAGCCTCGTTCGTCACGATCTGTTACAGTTTTTTGCATTTCCCATTTTTATTACTACAAATTATTAATATTACTGAAAAAATTTTTACATCGGCAACATTGCTAAACCATCGTTCGTATGCCGCCTGCCAGCGCTAGATTGCTCGCGACCTCCTAGCTTTTCTGTTGCCCTGGTGTATGGAAACGCCATGAAAGTCCGTTGTGCTTCCTTGCCTGCATGCTTGATGTTTTGACACTACTTTTACACCATTTAAATCCCACGCTGAGTTGCGGTTTAATTTTTAATTGGCGATCATTTAATCTACCGGACAACAGCTGGACAGGCCTGTGCTATGCTGACCATATTCTACGTTTTTTATTGGCTCTGGGATGGTCAGTCGAGCATATATCCCCGGGTCCGGTTTGAGAACACGTTAGCCGTGGATAGCGTGTATAACTGGTTTAGGGATTTGGAGGTATTTTATATTTTTTGAAGGGAGAAAGAAGTTGCTTGGTCTTTTTTTATATAGTGGACAAGAATAAGAGTAAGAAAGACGGATGTATACAGTTGGGGTGTTTTTTGATAAATGTTATAGCGAGGGTGATGTGTGTTTGGGCTACATACAGGTTTATTAATGATTACAGGTAATAAAAAGTCGTTTAAAATAATAATAAAGTCTTTTTATGAAGGAGAGTAAAAAATAAATAATTGATCTTTCGTTATTAGTGATTTTAGAAAAGGTTCAGTTTCGTACATATTGTTTAAAATTATACAGGGTGTTTTAAATGATAATTAATGACAAAAATGGGAGAAAAGCAGTTAAAACATGCGAAGAAATAGAGCCGATATACGAGTATATACACAGTATAGAGTGTGTTTCAAAAAGGTATGTCATAAATTAAATTACGCATTCCGAGGACAAAAATAAAGTGTAATTGATATGAGGTTGAATGCTCGAATGCTTAAACCCTATCACTTAACATCGGTTCAAGAGTTATTGGTTGAAGATTATCCTAAAAGGATTGGATTTCCGATTGGTTGTTGATGGAAAACACTTAAAATGTTAATTTTATTAGAAATATTTTGTTTACCGACGAGGCTACCTTCAGTAGAAATGGAATAACAAACCATCATAATGAGCACATTTGGACCGACGAAAATCCTCACGCCAAAAAAAAAAACGACTCCTCACCAAAGGACTTTCCAAAGTTTGTGGATAACAATCTAATACGCCCAGTATGTCTTCCCAACAATTTTAACTGGTGATAAATATTTGCAGTTCTTGGCAAACGATTTACGAGAGTTTTTGGAAGAAGTGAATATTGCAATAAGGTAAAATATATGGTTTTTTACAAGATGGCGCTCCACCGCATTACAGTAATGAAATCCGGGAATACCTTGGCAGGCAGTATCCTGGTCTTTGGTTTGGAAGGGGTCGTGATGCACCTATTTCTTGGCCACCCAGAAGTCCAGGTCTTAACCCCATGGACTTTTGCTTTTAGGGGTCAGGCTGATAAAGGCTGTTAGGCTTGTAGGTTAGACAGTCTTTCTTTCTTTCTTTCGGTTTATTTCTTTCTAGCTCTCATAACAAAAGGTTTTTTACAGGGTTGGGTAGTTAACCCAACGCCAAATCCCCTTCCTTCCTTGTCAAGGGACTAGTGTCAGGTTCGTATGGCCTAAAATACTTACTTACGAAAAAATATGATAACTTAGTCCGACGCCGCATAACTATAAACTAAAAGAGAATGATCAAACTAATAAAGGTCAAATTATACAACTGATATCTACAAAATAATTTATTTCTTAATATAACAATATCTATATACAAAACACCATTCCCAAAAAGGAACTACATAATAGCCTACTGATAAGTTTTTAACAAAACAAAAATTATGTCGTTGAATAATTTCTCTCTAACGTCATACATTTTTATATTAACAAAAACATTCTTATCTGAGTAAAAAAATATTATAATAAATAAACTTAATAACTAAATCAGTGTATATTTATGTTTATTCACGTATATATATATATATATATATATATATATTATATATATATATATATATATATATATATATATATATATATACCCTAACAACTATATTTTTGAACAAACAAAAATTTTGATTTATTGCAATTAAAGCGCCTTACAGAATTTTAGATTTGAATCAAAGGATTTTATCAATATCGTCATACTCTTTCTTGATACATACCTCACATATGGAGGCCTCACACTCTGATATTATATTATGGTTCCACAGGATCGCCATGCAGTTATTTGATTTTAATACATTTTTAATAATTTCAAATGATACACCATATGACTGCGAAAATTATTGATGAGGCGATAACCAGGGCGTCACCCAGGTGGGGTCTAATGGTACCCCCAACATACTTAGAACTAGCATAATTCTATGGTTAATACACGGATGTTTTATTGGTTGCCTATAGCTTCCTAAAACATGTTGCCGTTGGGTAATCTGAATTTTCTGAACCAATTTCAGTTGTAAGTTGATCGTCAAAGTGATTACAGTATTCTGCAATCCTATTACACCCTTCCTAGGTGACGAAGGCACGATTTAAATTCGCAAGGTAACTAAGACAATTTCACTTCGTGGCGTTATTTGTTGTACATATAAACTTTTTTCTTTAGAATGAATTATGAAAAAGAACAAGCCAAACTATTGGCACTTTGGCAGGAACTGGAAGATGATGAGTACGAAATTATGGACTCATGAAAACGAAATTGATCACACAAGTAATCAGTCTGATAGTGACGAAAATAAAGAAATTGATGAACTAGAAGTATTAAAATCTGAAAATAAGCGAAAAGAAGATAAAAAATATCCTTATTATTTAGGTAGGGATTCCAAAACAAAATGGAGAAAGCACCATAGTAATAAAGCAGTTAGAACGAGGCCAAAGAACATAATTTCGAACTTACTAGGATCCAAACCATATGCTAAAAAAAAGACTTTTAGATTGCTGGCTTCTTTTTTTATAAAGAAATGCTTGAAGGAATCACGGTCTGCACCAAGGTATTGATAGATAAAAAAGCGTTAGCCTACAAAGATAAAGCATATTGTAGCAGGACCAATATTGTTGAAATAAAGGCATTATTTGGCCTCCTCTACCTAGCGGGTGTATATAGAAATGGTCATCGTAATCTAAAAGACCTTTGGCGAACAAATGGTACAGGAATCGATATATTTCGTTCAGTGATGGCACTCAATAGATTTAATTTTTTTTTGCAGTGCTTACGTTTTGATAATGTATACAATCGACCAGAAAGGCAACAATCAGATAAGTTGGCTCCTATTAGGGCTTTTTTTGAAAAATTTGTCGCAAATTGTCAACAAGCTTACTCACCCCCGTACTTTATATGTTTATTAATATGAGTGTATACATGTATATTAATATGAGAATTTTTGCAAGGACCCAGCCAGATGGGCCGTACCAAATAAGCAATAAACTTGTTTACCAATTTGTTTACCACTTGTTTACAAACTTGTTTGTATACCAATTTCTTACCAGATAATTGGTATACCTCTTACTAACTTCCTCAATATCTGGGATTACTTACGCCAATTATGGAAGAACGAAAAAGTAATCCGCGACTTACACAATATTTACGATCCAAAATAGTTCAAGTTTTGGGAGAAAGTGACCAAGCTTCACCGAAAAAGGAACGTACGGGACGTGGATGGTGTCAAAAGTGTTCCAGAAAATCTGACCGGAAAACTAAACAAACGTGCGATCAATGCCAAAATTTTTATTACATCACCTTCATCGCATTTGCGATTAATGTATCCAGTTCCGGGACTCCTAACTTTTTTTCAAGCTTAGATATTCAATGTCCTGCTTTTTTATATTTTTATTTTGAACCTTTTGAAAAAATCTTTTTGGAAAATCTATTATTATGAATCATTATCTTTTGTTTGTAAATTTTTTATGTATCTTGTATTTTTTGTTTGTAGGAATTTTATTATTTTGTAAATTTTACCTTATACGAAGTCAAATTTAATCCAGTGGTAAAAACTGCTGTTATTTATAAAAATTTAGATAGTCAAATAAGATATTTAAAAAAATAAATTCGTGTTCGAAATGTTTGTGGAGTTTTTCAATCAATTTTAAATGGATTCAATAATACCCCACTTGGCTTATTGTACACACATTTTTCACCTGGGTGACGCCGGGTTAAGCGAATTTTTTCGAAAAATTTGAGATTGATGAAAAAGATGAGCCGTGTGAACAATAACAAGAAGAAAATAAAATTGGTAATATGTAACTAAAAAATCTACACCGAATTCTTTATAGGACACATGTACGTTGTCTTTTTACAGGTATATGTTAACTAAAAACCTTGCTATGTACCTGAATTATTTAAATTCCCAAAAAAACGTATTGCCTGGGAGTAAGGGTTCAATTTATAATCATTTATGGGTTATTTTTAGATATTAATAAAATCGGATACACGTTTATTCCTATCAAATATCAGTGATCCCAAGGATTTTTACAACCAAAAGGTAATATTAGAGATTACGTCATATATCTATTCAAATATTTCTTGGCCCTTTCCTACAATAAACCATAAAATCTAGAAACAATCATATCAGACCACAAAATCGTTGCAAGAATTACCATATCACGCAATACAGTCACACAAATACCACCTGGGTAAGAACCAATACTTAAAAGTGTACTCAGTAGCAGGGTTATTTGTCCTAGCGTAATACTCCAGTGTGTACAAGCTAGCCATCAATCCGGAACCGAACATCATACCGTACCAGAACAGTATGTTAACGCACTTGATCTTAGGCACTCGGAACATGCTTATGACAGCAGCAATTAAGTAGCAGTAGAGGATGACGGGGGTGTAGAATTTGAACTGGTATGCCAATACCCATTCGTGGATTATTGCTGATAGGGCGAACACCGCGAGTTTGCCTAATACTTTGTTGCCTTTAGTTAATATGTGAATATCTCTGTAGACGTAGGTGTAAAGCCAGTCGTGGACCACGCAGTTCCAAGTTCTGAAAATAATAATAATGTGAAATAAATTGAGTGTTCTTACTGATATTGATTCATTTATATCTTTATGTATAAAAATCTCATGTCACGATGTTTGTCCAAAGTAATATTTTAAAACCAGTGATCCGATTGCAATAAAATTTTGTGAAAATATGGTTGTTGGTTGGTATGACGAAGATTGTAAGAAAGCCATTAGTGACCGAAATAAAGCTAGAATAAATAGCATAATAAGAAATAATGAAGAGAGTAAAAAAGCTTATGCAGCAAAATTGGCTGGAGTCGGCAAAAGAAGATCGGAAGTCGCTGCGGGTACAAGATTGGAAAAACTTAGTACAAGATAGAAAGAAATGGAAGAAAACCGTTGAAGCCTTGGGCCTTTGAGGCCTGTTGAGCTGGACTATATATATATATATATATATATATATATATATATATATATATATATATATATATATATATATTAAACTCTTAAATATTGGTGAAATCTGTAAGAAAAAACTCCAATGTGTATCAATTGTTTCGCCGAACGTTTTCGCCAAAGAGAATTAATTTGGTTTCTTCAGGGCTGAAAGAGAATAAATTATAATTAGCTACCATATATTATCTAATAAAAAACATTTACCTTACCGTAAATTTTAGAAATGTCGAGTTAGATGTTAAAAAACTTAGCTAGTAACAACATAGTGGTGTTTTTTTGTTACTATGTGCAAAAAAGTTTTTTTTTGTTAACGTTGGAAATGTATGGTAGCTTTGAACTTAAAACGCAAAGGTTTACCCAAGGTTAATCGAAAAACCCAATGTAATTACATTTAAAGGAAGTAATTCTTTGAATTGTCGGCAATAACTAAATTTTTGATTGTTGTAAAGTTTGAATGTGAGCTTCTGTTTTCATAGGACGCAAGCGCCGAACAATTACAAGTAGTGCTTTTGAATATTTATGTCGTTAAGGTTCATTGGTAAAACCGATGAAGTTAGATCCCAGTCTGGGGAGATATTAGTTTAGAATTTTCTTAATTGAAATTCTTTTTTAATTTGTATATTGTTCATGTATTATTATAATAATATCTTATTGAGATGTATCTAAGAAAAGCAATGGAATGTTATCTTTTTTAGTTAATGAAAATTATTATTAAAGTAGGTTAGTTGTTAATAGATTCAAGTTAGTTATCTGTGATGTTGTATTGTTCTTGGTATCTGATTTAAGTAAGAAGTGGTATATATCGCTTAGATTCTTAATGTCACTCTTAACATTGATGAAAAAATCGTTAAGGAAAATATAAGACATTTCAATGAACTCTCTTTTAGATTTATTGTTTTCACGGTGGAGAATTGTAGTGTTCGTATAGTCCATGTGATGACCAGTGGAATGGACATGTTTGGCTAATGCACAGCGGTCAGGGTGAAGTCGAGAATCACTTTTGTGTAGTGTAATACGTGATTTCAATAATTGAGATGTTTACTACTTGTAATTGTCAGCGCTTGCGTTCTATGAAAACAGAACCTCACATTCAAACTTTATAACAATCAAAAATTTAGTTATTGCCGACAATTCAAAGAATTACTTCCTTTAAATGTAGTTACATTGGGTTTTTCGATTAATCTTGGGTAAACCTTTGCGTTTTAAGTTCAAAGCTACCATACATTTCCAACGTTAACAAAAAAAACTTTTTTGCACATAGTAACAAAAAAACACCACTAAGTTGTTACTAGCTAAGTTTTTTAACATCCTAACTCGACATTTCTAAAATTTACTGTATAGTAAATTCAGCCCTGAAGAAGCCAAATTAATTCTCTTTGGCGAAAACGTTCGGCGAAACAATTGATACACATAAGAGTTAGTTTTTCTTGCAGATTTCCCCAATATTTAAGAGTATATATATTATATATATATATATATATATATATATATATATATATATATATAATGGTTGTTGGTCCAATTTAGAAGATAAGATTTTTTATCCCGATGAATGACCAATCGATGAATCACATTTAAATTACGTCATTTTATATTCTTATAACTTTTTTTATAATAAATCGAGAACGACTGAATTGATTTGGCTAATTTTGGTTTTAAAATATTTATTTTTATTTATTTCTCACCTAAAAATAATTTTAAAATGTTTCACATTGTTTATTTACAATAAAAAAACTATTTTTCACTATTTCTTCTGCAAAAAATTTTAAAAAGTTTGTGCTTTAATTCAATGCATCTTAATAATTATAAATCTAATGAAACAATTCTAAATAAACTTAAATTTTAAAGTCTACTTTAGTTAAAATCTAATTGAGTATAATATATCGCTAAAATTTTCCATATCATATTTTTATCATATGTAGGAAAAAAGTAAATTCTATTATCTCTAAAAAAGTTTATTATTTATAAAACAATTTATAATTTACTGTCTCGCCAAATGTAGGCAACTTACAGTTGTTTTAAGCAATGAGGATTGCTGAGATATCATTTTACTTAATATTTCCTTAAACTAAGGAATAAAATTCAATATTAACATCTCAAATTCAAAGTAATGATTCTAAATGAATTTTAAATAAAGGTTTAACACAAAAGAAAAATGCTATAAAATCTAAACTTTAGTGAAATAAATTTGTCGGCAAAGAACTGGTCGAATGCGTTTTCACAGACTGTCAATAAAGTGATACATTTCAAAAAATTTGAAAAAGTTTAACTTACCTAAAGAATTCCTCCGTAGTGACACAATTCCACCAATTCTTATAAAACTGCCTATCTGCAAATCTAAGTATCTCTGCAAACAAATTTTGGACCGAATGTAGGACCTGGTAGAACCCAGATAATAAAAGTAGTAGTCCAGGAAGAGAGTTTTCAATGATCGGAATGATTACTTCGCCCCATGTAAACTTCCGCAATCCAAATTCGCGGTATGCTGGGAAGACGAACCTGTGCAGGATGAAGCATTGGTAGATGATGACGCCGATGATTTCTAGGAAACGGAAGGCTACGAAGTCCCATCTAATATTTGTGGTCCTAAAAAACAATATTATTATATAACTGACCAGAAAATTATCGCCGTTATCGTTTTTTCTCTACTATACTCTGTTTTTTAACCAGGAGGAGTAAACCAAAAAGACATATTCACACTCAAGAAAGTTACTAGAAAACTCACCAAATACTTCTTCTTTTTTTGTTGATTGTCTCGGCCTTGCGGTAATCGAGTATCATTTGGATAACCTCACACGTCAATTTTAACCTAACTTTGTTTATTTTTTATGTTTGAATAATAAAATAATTTTTTTCAATTCACTTCCAATATATAATTACAATAAAAAAAGGACTTTTTCACATTTGGTCCCATGTATATATATTTAAATATCGGGTGATCCAGTTTTATAGATCTCTTAAGTCTATGGTATTTAATTATAATTTAGAGAATATTTTTATCGGGAGTCAATAATTTTACAGATCTAAGTATGTTTTTTCTCAGAAATTTGTCTTTTAATAGTAGACCATATTCTTATTCTGGTATGATCAATTTCTTGAATCTAGTTTTTTTTCTTACCAGATACTTTGTATAAATAAGTGTGTACTTACAATTTCTTTAATGCTAGATCCTTGTTTAATTTTGACAGTGAGTTTGTCCAATTTGTTATCAACAAATAAAATTTACTAAAAAATACTGGATTTCTGTGAGATAATCAACAAATCCAATCTATTATGTTACATTCTTGCATAATTTTGCAGTTTTCTTGTGATGATCTACAACCAGGAAGAACAAAACCAACTGTATCATACAATCAAACTAAAACACAACATTACTTTACTAATGTTCTTTTATTGTGATGAAAACAAAATGGAAATGCTTCTTAACAAGTATACACTAAATTTAAAAGATAGTTGCCGTTTTTCTTATGATAATTAGATATAAATAACATACATTTATAAACACTTTAAACTATATTTAGTATAAATATCATCTAGAAAAATATCACATTAAATACTATTCGCATATCACCAAGTCCAAGTTATAACAAACAACTTAAAGAGTCAGAAATCGATTTATATATTAGAGGAAAATAATAATAATAAATAAATTTCACAAATGTCATTAGTGTCAATATGTCATAATTTAGTGGAGTAAACTTGCCTGCGGTTGGACCAATTGCAAACAAGCATTACGGCGCGGAAAATTTGAATTACTCCTCCTGGTTAAAAAACAGACCATAAGTACTTTTTGTTACCTAAGGATGTTTTGTTTCTTCCTAACAAATAAATAATTGAGAGGAAGGATCTTTTGATCTTTCCTCTCGTTTATTTTTGTGCTAGATAGTTTTCACAGTCTGATTCTTACCCATGAATATGGAACATAAAATGACACTTACCTGGGATACTCATCTCTGTAGACAATTGTTGGAGCAAACAAGAAATATAAATAATTCTTAAACTTGGGTAAAATCAACTCTTGGTCGCTGTGTGGTTTGTATTTCACAACTCTTTCAGCGTTGTGTCTAATATAAGCATGGATTTTCATTGACAGTCTCGTCTAAAACAAAAAATAATTAACAAACGTTTTGAACTTTCTTAACCACGGTGAACAAATAAGATTGGTTTAAGATTTTGTTTATTACCTGTTCTAAAAGGATTATTGATGAACAGGCTACTGGTAGATCGTAGTGCTCTGTTATAAATGAAGATATTATGAAGGACATTAGGTGGAACGCAAATACTAACACTATCCATATTCTGTCCCATATTTTGACAGCTGTATCTATAAATTAAAGAAAATAGTATAAGCAACCAATGTCCAAAATACAAGCATTTGTTTTTGTAGTTTTTGGCCTTGGCAGAGCTAATTGACCAGACTCTTAACGATAGGAATTTGCTTTTTTTTTGATAAAAGACTTAGTAGTCAACTTTTCACAACTTGGTTTTCGCAAAGGCCTAACAATGCGTGAAGCTCTTTTTCACTTCATATACTGATACAAAGATGCCTTGATGATTTCAGGAAATTAATGAATTTCCTGATATCCAAGAAAATTGACTACAATGACCTCAGGATCATATCAAATTTATACTATAAACAGCAAGCAAAAGTACGTGTTAACGAAGAGCTGTCAGAAGAAATTAAAATTATTCACAAGGAATCTCCGTTCCTGTAGTTGGCTGTATACCATGTATTAAAAATTTAATTAAAAATCCTTTGTAATAGGTATATATTTAAGGCCCAAACGGGCTAAGTTAAAAAGACATAACGTTTTCGGAAACCATGTTCCATCATCAGTGTCTAGGAGTACATGAATGTAGCCACCAAGATTAAATATATGGGTAAAAACCCGTTAACAGATGTTTAATTACATTTAGTTATAAAAATATGTTATAATAATTTAAGATTATAGAGTTACCGATGGATTAGGTAACATGGTGTAAGTGGAATGATTTCTAGGCGATGGATGTAACTATGAAAAGCTGCGTATTTATGCGACATGGGGTGGTTGGATGAGAATGGAATTATGTGGTCAGTCTGTGTAGGTTTCCTATAGATACTGAAGTCGAAGTGGTCATTTAATCTGGTAATAGTGAGATCTAGAAAATTAATAGACATGGAAGATTCTAGTTCCATGGTGAACTTGATGTTGGGGTGAATTTGGTTGATTTTGGAAAGTAAAAGATCAGCTGAATTGGAATTACCTGAAATGAAGACTAAACAGTCGTCAACATAGCGAAACCAGTGGAGTATTTCAGGGTTTTTCATGATATGTGTGGATTCTAAGTGATCCATAAATATATCAGCTAATAGAGGAGAGAGACAGCTGCCCATGGCTAAGCCATCAGGTTGTCTGTAGTATTTGTTGTTAAAAACAAAGAAATCTTGATCTAAACAAAGCTGTAATAGTTGGATAATGGAGTTGGTGGTAGATAAGGTGATGGAGTTGGCTATGAGAAGAGAATGAACCAGATTAATAGTTTCTTGTTTAGGGACAGACGTGAATAGATTGCTAACATCAAATGATAGCATAGTAATATTGGGGTGAAGGTTAATGTGTTGTAAATTATTGACTAGATGACTGGTATTTTTGACTGAAAATCGAGGGGTGAAGTTCGTCATATTGTTGATAAGATTCAATATAAATTTTGATAGGATGGAAACTGGAGTGTTAATGAAGCTGACAACTGGACGAATAGGAATGCCCTCTTTGTGTATCTTAGGTAAACCGTACAGTCTAGGTATTAAAGGATTGCTTGGGATTTTATAATATGGTGCAAAATGTTCTGAGAAGAAGTCTATGAAATGTTTAATATTGTCTTTTAATTTATTTATGAACTTTTTTGAGGGGTCTGTTGCAAGTAGAGTGAAGTTATTATTATTGAGGAAGGTTGAGACTTTATTGTTGTATGATGTTTGATCTAGGATCACTAGGCAGTTACCTTTATCAGCTTTACTGATGATTAAGGTATGGGATTTGATTTTATTCTTAATGGATTTGAGAGTTTTGAGATGATCATTACGTTTGTTTTGAGAAAGATTGTGAAAATTGGGTGTTGAGTGTAGGTTTTGAATGTTGGAGGGAAAATTAGAAGATGAGGGTGTGTTGATATTAAGTATAGTAGAAGAATTGGAAGAATTTTTGTTTTTGAATTTGTTTATGGTATTGAAGCAAGAGTTTCTGATAGAGGTTTTTTGATTTAAAGGGACTGAAAGGTTTTGGATGATAATATCTAGCTCAATGGAGAGACTCTGAAGGTCTTTTTCGGAGACCATGCGAGGAATGGAGTATTTGAGACCTAGATTTAGTAACTGAAGTTCGTTATTGTCAAAGGTAACTGACGAGAGATTTTTTAATCTTGGATGAAAACTGAAATTAGAGAATTTACTGTTGTTGTTACTGTTATTATTTGTTGATTTAGATTTATTTTTAATGAGATTATTTAATTTAGATTTAAGTTTATTGAATTTGGTGGAAGTTACATTGTCCAATCTGTCCTGAACATCATTCAAAAAATTATTTAAATGCCATGTTACCTAATCCATCGGTAACTCTATAATCTTAAATTATTATAACATATTTTTATAACTAAATGTAATTAAACATCTGTTAACGGGTTTTTACCCATATATTTAATCTTGGTGGCTACATTCATGTACTCCTAGACACTGATGATGGAACATGGTTTCCGAAAACGTTATGTCTTTTTAACTTAGCCCGTTTGGGCCTTAAATATATACCTATTACAAAGGATTTTTAATTAAAATAAAATTAGACGTGGAGTGAGACAGGGATGCGTATTGTCGCCAATTCTTTTTAATGTCTGCTTCGAAGAGATCCTGAAACAAGCTCTTGAGGGTGAAACAGCTGGAATAAAGGTAAATTGAGTTCCCATTAACATTAGATATGCGGACGACACTGTGATCTTAGCCGAAAATATTGAAGATCTTCAGAGACTGGTGACCAGAATAGCGGAGTATGGAAAAGAGTACGGTCTAACAATGAATGTCAAAAAGACGAACATTTATGAGAATATCGAATACTCAAAGAAATAATGAGAATCTTCTAATAAACGGAACCAACGTCGAACAAGTGGACAACAAGTGGACACAGGAGATCAAAATCAGAATATAAAAGACTAGAGCAAATTTCGACAAACTGAGAAGAGTGCTTTAGGGATTTAAAATTAGAACTAAGAGTTAGGTTGGCGAGGTATTATGTTTTTTCGACTTTGTTTTATGGAATGGAATCTTGGACCTTGAATGTGACATAAAAAAAACTAGAATCATTCGAGCTGTAGGTGTATGGAAGAATTCTGAAAATATCGTTGACAGAACACGTCACAAACAAAGAGGTTCTGAGAAGGATGAATAAAAAAACAGAAATTTTAAATACAATTAAAACAAGAAAATTGGAATATCTCGGACATATTACACGTTTAGAGAAATACACTTTGCTCAACTGATTATGCAGGGGAAGATCCAAGGAAAGAGAAACATAAGGAGGCGTAGAATGTCAAGGCTGCTCAACATTATTGTCTTTGGTCAGCAGCAAGCCCAGGAAGACGAAGGTGTTCACTCCTTCCAGTTCTAGATCATCAATTAATAGTCTAGGTATCTGATTGCCTGATCTAGTACAATACATACAATAAAACCTCCGTTAACCGAAATAATTGGGGGGAAGGCCGTTTCGGATAACAAGAATTTCGGTTCAAAATAACATTGTTTTTTAATATTACTTGGTTAAAGTATTGGTATTAAAAATACTATGAGGTGATTTCGTAACGTTTTCTAAAAAGTAAATACAGAATAAAGTAATAAAATTAAGGAAAATGAACTAGTTTAACATGATTTTTTAAAGAAATCTTCTATTTTCTTTTGCGTTATCGTTTGACAACGATGTTTTGCAGCTATATATCTCCATCGTTCATTTGCAGAACGTCATGAGTTTGCCTCATTCCATCGTTCGACGAAACGTAAAGCAATCTGAAAAGGACAAAACTTTATACAATGACAAGAAAAGTTAAGAACCTAGTCATCTCTCTAAGTAATTAGGCCTTCTGCACAAAATTCTTATCCTTAAGGTATTGAAAATCTCGTTGGCGGTCTCAAGTTTGTTGTCTGTTGGGTCGTCATCTTCGTCATCTGATACACTCAGGTTGTCTGGATGAAGAACCATATCAATGATGTCCTGGTCGATGAATTCACTTTCTGAGTCATCGGCTGCTAACCACTCACGTATCTCTTCTTAGTTAATTTCGTCACATCCCGGCAAATTTTTTATTAAAGGTTTAATTTCTTCTGTCGTTTCCCTACCATTTTCTTCTTTAGGATCGTCAATCAAATCAAAGTCAAAAAATCCAGCATTTTTCCAAAGTTAAAGATTTGAACTTGACCCAGAACTCAGCACACCGATAAACAACATATTTCATTGTTGACGATTTGAGGATTTCGGGAATACTTTTGGATTCATTCGTCTCCTGTAATAACAGATGTCTTAAGAATGCTCTTCTATAATGTCTCTCGAATGTCTCTATTACTCCCTGGTCTAACAGTTGATTTAAGCTTATGACATTCGGTGGCAAAAATCTGATAATTATTACTATTGTGTAGATTTTGAGGGTAAGTTGGCGCATTGGCAATAAGCAACAATGCTTTGATGAGAAGGTTTTTTATTTTAAAAAGGATTTTACACTTGGGACGAATTAATTTTCGAACCACTCTGAAAATAAAGTGGTCGATATCTATGAGCTTTTTTGGCTTCTATAAAAAACTATAAGTGCTTTTTCTCAAATATCTTTTAGAGTTCTTGGTTTTTTTGATTTCCCAACACACCAATAGGCATCAATCGGGAGTGAGATTATTGGAATTGTTTACGTTTTGCGATAAAAATTTACTTTTTGTTGACGAAATTATTGAAACTGCCAGCCGTTTCGGTTAAACGATGTTTCGGTTAAAAGGGTTTCGGTTAAGGGAGGTTTTACTGTATACTTGGTTTTCTGTGCGTTTATTTTTAATTCCATTCTCAGTGCAGACACCTTTAATAATTGAAATCTGTGATTACCAGTGTGGTTTTTGACCGAAAAGGTTAACAATAGGCCAGATCTTTATCTTGCGCCAAATTTTAGAAAAGAAATGGGAATACAACAAAGATGTACATCAAATTGTTGTGGATTTTAAACAAGAGTATGAATCTGTAAACAGGGATACACTGTGGAAGATAATGGTAGAAATGGCAGCACCCATAAAACTGGTATAATACACTAGTTCTTAAGTTGGTTATA